GTCAATTAGAAAGTCGGTCGCATCTTCCAACGTCAATTTCTCGCTGGCAGCGGGACAATCGCTCCCGTCGTTTCTACGACGACCGAGAGAACTTTTATCTACGAGGCCAACGCAACGGATTGATGAAAATGCATTCGATGCGATTCACTATAGTGGCGACGACAGTGACATATCGGCAGACACGGGTTAACGCGTTCGCTGACACGCCGACGGAGAACAAAAAAGACTACTGGTCTAGCTTTAGTTTTCAAATTTGTGCAAATATATGCCAGATTTCTATTTACATAGGATTACGATTTAATAGACGCTGGTATAAATCTAATTTTACTGTTATATTGTACGATGATGATGACAGCAAACGCGTTAGGCCCTTTTCAGCCGGGGGAAAAAACCATTACTCTGATTCGTAAATTGAACATTTCACAATTGAGCTGTACGAAAGTTGAACGTGCCAACCCCGGAACGATGATTATCTTAAGAATCATTACTGTACCTCATTAGTATAAAAATACAGATATAGACAGTGTAACAGTAAATTCATAAAACCAGCGGATGTAGAGTCAGACCTTTCGTACAATCAAGTTTTGCCTATAACCAAGTGCCATTAAGGCGGCTATTTAATTGTTAAATTGATTCAAATCCAAGCGTTCTATGACTTTACTATCTGCAATAACATCGAAAACCAGTGCCACATGTTTTATGGCGAGTCAGGTATCGCATAAACACCTGGGCACCAAGCGTTGACCTGGGCCAGTAGCAATCTCGCGGAAAAACCCAAACGAGGGAAAATTATTAAAAATAACCGTTACATGCCGCCTCCAAACTGATTGACCAGTATATTAGCAATTTTTTACCGATCTAAGACCGATGCTGCCTCCCATGGCTTTGGGTACGCCCATGGCGAGGTTAGCTTCTTGGGCAACCTTGGCCCAGACACTTCAAACACCACTCCATCAATAGTATATTCAAGAATTTGTACATTTCGACTATTTGACGTAGAACAAATTGTTATTGGTTGTTACAATATTCAACTGATTAATATTGACGTGTGAAGTTGAGCAGATTAGAATGTTTCTTTCATCAAATTTAATTATTTACATTTGAGTAAAACCTAGGTATATAAAAGTAAGTTTTTAAATTTTTGTTCTACTATGAATTATGTCAAACGTAAACTGCCGTGTATTTTACTGCACACCCATAAAAGTATGTATTGAAAGCGTACATTTTGTAAAAAGCTCAGAACAATGCTCGCGGTAAGTTTTATTAAGTAATATCTTTGTTAAGTTTGCGCTTTAGCTGACGCTATTGTATCGTATAGTAATACCATCCATGTCCTTAAGGGATATTATTATCCCAGGCCAATAAAAGTCTATTTATCTATCTACGTACTGATCCCTGACCTCGCTGTACACAATGTAGGTTATAAGACTCACTTGAGCAGCATTCAGACTTTACTTAGAAAACAATAGAATCGCGTCACTACGAAATTAAACGATGGTCCAGTGTCTATCGAACTGTGTTTCACGCGATATGGTCAACTGCTCCATACTTTTCAATTTTAATTAATTTTGCATACTCGTAGCGTGTAATGATTCTGAATTATTATTGTGTAATTGCCATAGCTAGCAGAGGGAAGAGAAATGATATTCGCCCAGAAATTATGAACGCTGCTTTGCTTCGAACCATCTTGGAACGCAAGACTAGAGTAGAAAACAACGTTTCGAAATTCTAGCAACAATATCGCGGGAAGAATATGTTAAAGTATATGTATATAGACTCTGAACCTGAATACGAACGCATCGATATGCGAAAACTTTCCAACGACGCGCGACGAGATTGATGGTATTCTCAAAAACGAAAATAAAAATGATTGCTTCATCCGTGGTGAATTCAGGCATAATAGGGAATAGCGGCACAGGTGCGGTGGATGTGGTTTTTAAGCATATGCATTATGCAGCGGAACAGATTCTGCGAAAGATTACATACGTGAAAGATGCAACGCTCGCGTTCGACTTTTCTCTTTATTCAAAAATACCAAACTTAAGAAGCTCGCTGAATTTTATTCTTTATTTACGTTAACGTTAGATAAATATTGTTATATAACTATTTTCGGTTATAATAGTACAAAACAAAAATAATACTTTTTTAATTTGGATTCGGCTTAAAACGGAAATAAAATTTAGAACAGGGCGCACGAATGGTAAACATTTTAAAATAATAAATGTACGTATACCAAAGTAGCAAATAATTTGAAAACATCATCGACTTAAAACAGTACATTCAGGATAACTGGGATAATCTGGAGTAAGAAAATGTTTATAAAAATATTTTAACAGAAAAAAAATGATTCCAGTTATCAAATGTATTGAGCACAGAATGTTAATAATTCCATTTCTTTAAATAAAAAGTCTCGTTTCGTACACATGTCGACAAAAACGTTCTGGAAACTTTTAATGCAGAAAAATTCGATTAATTTCGAAGCGTGCTATTTTGTCTGTCTCGCGTTGCAAGCCGCAAAACAATCGAAACTCACGAACGCGCAGAAAACAAGAGGCCCAGTTACCAACCGGTTCGCCAAAGCGAAAAGCTTACGAAGCGACGATCGGGCGAATCTTTTTCTCGCCATCTATTGATCCTACTGACCTCGCCAGAATGTTTCATCTAGGAGGACGATTTATAGAGCGTAACCTCCGTCTCGGGAGGCGGTGATGAGAGGGTCGATCGAGGGGGAACTCGAGGAAACGGGTTTGTGAAAAGAGATAGGTGGACGCGATCGACGACATCGCGACGACACATCGAAGTGATCGATCGTCCTTTGGCCGCGGAGGACCACGGTTGGTCGGCGGCACGTTGTTATGCAAATCGAACCGGAAGTCCTTTCTGATTCTTACTCCTGCTGCAGACCGGTAATTACCCGCTTCCGTTCCTCGAACCGCCGCGGGGATCGTTCGTCCGAATTTTATACTTGCATTAAGTGCACGAACGCGAACTCGTCTTTTATATTTCGCGGCGAATTATTTGGATAATATTACCGACGTACGAAATCACTCGCGCGATACATTATCGCTTTAAAGAGGTGGGCAATATTGATCTGGGCAACATGCTCGACAATATTTTTATCTTCGAACACGTATACTTTTTCCTCTCTATTCGTACGCTATATATTTGGAGCGATTAGTATTTTATCCGGAGCGACGAGGTCGTTAAATAAATCGATAAGTAAATAAATAAAAATCTGTGTCAAATAACAGATGGCATAGTTTAGTATGTTTAAACCATTTAAAGCCAGATTTAGAGGCACTACAATTGCCACGGGATTTAAACCTAAATCCCTTTGAATGGCAGCTAGTGCGAATAAATAATAAATACCTCGATACACGATACAAGAAGCATCTGTGATCGGCAAACGAACAGCATGTATTTATACATGATACTCTATATAACGAGCTACCGTTCGTTATAATTTCTTAGTCATAATTTTAAATAAACCAAACTTCAAACGAACGTTAAATGTTTGTAACTGTCGTGCGCCCAGCGTCGCGGACAAAGGATAATTAAAATCTACCGGTTGCATTAAATTACGGGATATATTTTTGCAATAAATTCCGTGTACGGTGAACCGGTAAAAAATTTCGCGCGCGAACGCTGCGAGATCGATTTCACTTCGCTGTAAATTGAAAAGAAAAAACAAAAATATCTGCGATAGAAATCGAACGTGTTTGCTCAAAAGATTCCAACGGCGATCTAAGAGAAATGTAAATATTTTTTGATAAGAGAAAATTCACGCGAGGGAAGACAGCGTTATCGTGAATATTAAAAAGTACAACGAGCTACGTTTATGTTTTATTTCGATACGAGCGTTACTTGGCCTTCTACGTAGAAATTGCTTTACTATTATTGTTTAGTTTGATATGCCCTTAATTCCCGTTGGAAACTAACGTCGCGTGTTCGTGACAGCGATGATTCTTATTTTGTGTCCGTATACGCCAATCAAGCGTGAACTATAGACCAGTGTCGCATATCAGCGACACATTATTTAGAATAGTCAATTGGCCTATTTAATACGTTATACTTGCACATGGCTGAAAGCATTGACACTCGCGTGGACGTTGACGAAAAAATAACGCGAATAACTATTCTCGAAAGTTTCTAGAATAATATTTATGATGTGTAAAGCATGTATAAAGATGCATTTAATTTATGTATAATATCTTATTGAAATTTATATTTATTGATATTTTTATAAATATAAAATAGTAGTATGTAGATAAATTGCTTGCATTTTATACATTCGAACAAAATTTAGTTCAGAAAATAACTAAATAAGAAGAATTTTATACATAAATTAATCATCTCACCTACGGCGCGACAAATATTTTAAAAACGTCGATATTATTCTATGAGAATAGAGGTAATATTTTTCATGTTATTCTAATAACTCTTGCTGTAATATTGACTCGAAAATATTTCGATTTTGTACATGATCTAAAATAGAGGAAATATTTTATTGTAAAATATTCCCGAATGTCTATTCAACAAGTATATCACAGTTAACATTTTGTTAGAGTCTATTAATGTAGCTTTTATATCGTAGCCGTAATTATCCCTAAGGTACAATAATTCTCGAGTAATTACAACCATGATTTACATCAGGAAGTCGAGTCTCTGTTTTTCCTACGCGTTCTGCTTCTGAATTCACTGTTCGGGTCTTGTTCTACCCAAGAGCATTCTTATTTATTTAGGAACGAATGCAATTATGGACAAAACTGTATTTTCCTTTTTAAAGACCGTCGATGTATAGTAAAAGAGTGGATCGCTCGTTAAATTTTCTACGAAAGATACGCGATCGATCGATTTTCCGAAAAAGGTAGCGCCGTTCCATCCCAACGAATCTACCCACCGTACGGTAAAAAAAGTGCCAGCGAAAAGAACGACGGGAACAGCGAAGGGAAAGCGGCGAAATTCGAGGCGGAAGTAGTAGAGATGTGAAAAACACTGACCTTGAGAAGACTCCGGAAATAAGGACTGCACGCAGAGAGGACGACCTTGTGCGCGGTGAAGCTGCTACTGTCGCAAGCCAGGGTCACGTCCACAAAATCCTCCTCGTCCCTCAGATGACGAAATGAGCTGAGGATGCTCGAGTGGAAGTCGTTCCACCTGAGTGAGTACTGTTGCTCGCCGCTCGACGAGGACGAAGAGGCCGCCATGGCGTCCGTCCCCTCGGGACCCACGGCCGAGGGCACCAGAGGTGCTATCGTGCTCACTCTGGCACCCCACGAGGACACCTTCACTTCACCCTCTCGTCGCGTTTCACCACGCACCCCTCTATCCTTATCAACCACGTGCTAGTCAACACAGCCTGAACCGCGTCCTCGTGCAACTGTTCTGACCCGACTCGCTCGAAACGATCTCGTAAGTTCGACCGTGTCTCCTCGAGGTTCGATTTTTCGTTACCCTTCCACCTTCCCTCGATCTAGTTTTCAAACGTTTCTCGAACGAAAAATTCTTTGGTAGTCTCGTTCTCCCTCGTCAGTGCTGTTTCTCGATTCCGTTTAGTTTTGGTCCGATCGATCCTAGGGTCCAGGCGTGAATGAACGTCGCGTCGAACCGGGGTCCCGGCTAGCCTGATCAGGCGTAAGGAAATTTCGTGTTTACCGGCACGGTGGATCTCGTAACGACGACATCGCGATAACGACGAGAGGACGTTATCCGCCGTTGTCGGTAGAATGCTGACACGACGAGCCCGCGATCGGTTCTGAAAACAATGCGATGTCTATTGTGAGCGCGTGCTCGCCAACACGTGACGGCCTATCGGGCATTTTTTAAGACCGATCGATAAAACACCCGGAAGATTTCCACGTGGTGGATCTGACGCGTTCGGGAACGTCTGGACTCTGCGACTTCGTCATCGAACGCGTCTCGACAGATAAAGATTTGATACCGTGAGTGCGAGAATAGCCATTTTTGGTATTCTTGGTAATTGGTACCGTTCTAAGACGGTGGCTTCTAACGTTTATAACACGGTCATCGACCTGCTTTAAATCTGCAATTTCTTGATAAAGTTATTCGCATTAGGACACTGCAGAACGCAGGACACTGTAGAACATTGTAGGACAAATGTTTACGATGCCAACGCTGTAACTGACGCCTTGTCAGACTTGACCCATAATCAGATTACTGAGGCCGCAGGTTCAAAATAATAATTGTTTTTGTTAATTCGATAAGAATCCCTAATATATACACAACTAATAATCTGTTCAAATTCTATACCAAAGTTCAACCAAAGTTTCAGTTAACTATTATAATAATATTACTTGTTTTGTGTATTAATTTCTAATATTGTTATATTATAAATAAAACAGTATAGAAGGCATAAAATATTATATTTTTTTAATGATTTAAAAAAGACCTTAATTGTCCAATATTAGGGGACCTCCCAACGAGTACCAAAATGGCGATTTTCGAACATCGAGTGTCTCAGAGGTTATCGACGTACCTGGTGCGCAGAAAATTCAACGATCCCCGTGTGTTTGTTCCTTTCGTCTCTCCCTTCACCGTCCACGCTTCTTCCACTTCTTCGGGCACAAACCACGACGTGTATTACTTTCACCCGTTTAACGAAGTCCTTGCACCCTCTGCCCTGCCACGGCTCGATGGACGCGTTATTCCGACATCCGTTGTCGAGAAGAAGCGCGGCGACAAGTCTGTCGATACTTTCTCGGTGTTTGGACGACCGGCTGTCGGGAATCGTCCACCAAGTCAGCTGATTTTCGCGAAACACGCGTGTCCTTGCTTATCATGCCCTTCCCGACCTCTGCTACCCACTTGTTCGCTCCTTTTTCACTGACCTCTCCTTCCACCTCCTGCTTCAGCCGCCTTGATCTCTCCTCTCCTGCGAAACGGACAAAAAGGCCAGGTTAATACGCGCTCGCATATGCGATTCGTCGCGGCTACGGTAATGGACGAGATTATAAATGAAACGAGTAACGGCGCTCGTTTATCGAGACATTCCAACGATTTTACTCGTTTATTTATATATCGCCACAGTCGCGGCGAGAACGCCGGTGCCTCGCGAGTAATTACTAACGATCGGTCAGTCGGTCCCTCGTTCCATCGACAAGGAATTCTCCAAGAGTCGCGGGAAATCGTGGAATTGAAAAAACTCTGCGCCGAACGCAAGGAGAGTTTCGATCGATCTTCTCGACTAGGCACCATTTTAAACGCGAGACATTATATGCGAGTGCAAAGAAAGATCGGTACGATCTTTTCTTCGCTGAGGATGTTACGACTCGTGTCATGGTGAAGTTATACTACCATTCGATGCGGCCGCAAGGTGACACGAGCAATTAACATAACCTTTACATTTTATTCTGGCACGCCTATACTCGAAAGAATATCTAAATATTTATATTAAATGAATTCTTGCTGAATATGATATCTGAACGTTAGATTGTTGTATCTCGGCGCATCCGTGATATCTGAAATTGAGGTTACGGCGTTAAATAATGCAAATGGTTTAATGGGATCGTTCTAGAATTCAAGTTTTTTCTAGCGTTCGATCATTACGAATGGCGTTAAAGTAACGTCAAAAAGAAAAAAAATGTAACCGAAGTCGATCAATCTGCGAGTAAATTATACGAGAGTCGTAGATTTTTCAGAGAGAACGAACGGAATACCTGAACGAGTATCAAACCAGAAACCTGTAACTACGCAAGAAGTAACGAGGAGGCTTACACATCGTTCTCCTGGTGCTCGTGAATGCTCAAACGAGCAGTTTCGAGAAATCGTTACGAGTTTACTTCCGCGTAACGATGCGCATTATAGGCGGGAAAACCTTGAATGACACTCTGAAGAAAGCGTGGCCATTTGCTTGCTGGCATCGTACGAAGTTTTCTACGCTCGTTCGAGCTATGAATCATAGGAGTTAACAATGAACTCAGAGGCGGATCCAGACTTATCGGGGCCTGAAGCTAATCGATTCGAGGCTGGACATTACCTGCCCTCGGAGAGAATCTTTTTATACGAACGACCAACAGCTTCGAAGTAATTTAGCGGTGTCGTTTACCAATAATTAATCTTCCATTTGCAGGGATTATAATTTTTTCTGTTTCCTTGAACTTAAATCGAGATCTAAAAATAGTCGACAAATTAATACAAAATATAATTTATCGAGACATTATTGCACGCGAAAGCGTCTGAAACAAAAGTACCAGAAAATTCAGTATACGAAATTATACCTTGTAAAAAAAGAAATATATACACAAACATCGAACGAGCGCAGGAGACTCGAGAGAGAATTCAACGCATCGTGAGCTTTTTATCAGCGCGATTTTCCACGACAGAATAATTTATCCTCGAAATAGACACGTCGATCGCGGTGAGTCAGAAATCTATTCTCTCGCGAAATCTTTTACGTCGTCTGTCAACAAGAGGCATTCGCGTCTCGATTTGATTCGATATCAGACGTAATGCGTTTCACGTTTGTCATCCGGAGCAGACATAGATGCGGAACGAAACAACAATTCCAGCGAAAAGAAATCGTGAGCGTGCGAATATCAGGACGCCCGACGATAAGACTATCGTTCTTGTTTACGATTCCGCGAATTTACCTTCCAGCGTGCACGGCAAATATTAGAGAACGCGGCGAGATATCGAGCCATCTCGCCGGACTGTAATTAAGTTTTTTGCCTCGAACGAAGAGAGGGGACCCGATTCATCGTGTCCCACCTCGGGCCAACGCTTTGTAAACAACCGCGAAACACCTCCAAATAATCCGCGGTTGCTATTAAAGGAAAACTTTAATAACAAGTGGTTAAGTATTTATTAATCGAAGACTAATAAAGAAAAAGAAACTGCAAGGGGAGGACAGTAATTTGTCAACCAAATGTTAATGATTCGTACGAATCGTAATAGTTCTCAAGAATCATGACCAATTAGCTTCCAAAAGGTGTATTTTATTTTGTTTGCGCGATATTGATTACAATTCTTGAGCAAGGCGGATTCTTTTTCTTCGAATCGCCGACGCGAGCGATTAAATTATACAACAAATGAAAAATAACGTCTCCAATTGTAGTACAATATAACGATGAAATTTATCTCGTAACAAATTATCAGCATGACAGTTTAAGCAAGACGGATGAAAACAATGCTCGCGACTCGCGGTTAAATTAAGGAAATTAATTATTGAATGTTACACAAGGTCTGCTTATCGCTGTGAATTCTCACCCATTGATCCTCGGCGTCGATTCTAGAGGGAATAAGAAAAACTTGGAGAGCAAATGATACACGGCGCGACGGGGATCGACGAATGCATACGCCTCCGTGTGGACTGCTCGCGCAATATGAAACTGACATAATGACCAGAAGAGGATTTCGCAAGCACATACCTAGAAAGCGTTACGAGGCGTGGAGAGCGCGAGCACGAGTTATCTCGATTTCAATACCGACATTAAATACGTATTTTCCCGTCGGCGAAGTGGCCAAACCCTTTGCACGCTCAATCCACCCCGTGTGTCGATGAAAATTCTGTATCTAATTTTCTTACAGTAAATTGATATAATTAACCCCTCGGGTGGTTCTCTGTTTCACTATACATTGACGGTCCTCGGGACATTAACGTTATAAATATACAATTATATGTTTCAAGGAAAGGAAAACAAACACATATGTACATATATAATTAAAAATAATCCGAATACGATCGCCTTTGTTCTCATTTTCCGCGAAAAGATGCTAATCCAACGATAATACGGCTGTAAAGATATAATGATAAATATTAAAAATTAAATTCTACGTTATCGAATGAAATTCAACACCGATGGCCAATTTTTCATTTATTTTATTTCGCATTTAATTATTCAAGTTCTTAAATAATATTTTTCAATTTCTTTCAAAATTCTTACTCCACGGTTTGTTTCAATTTTGTTATGTTCTATTTGGTATTTTTTTTATAAAGAAACTACGCTAGACTGTACACCGATCAACGTCATCGACATATGGAACAACATTTATTATTTCATTCAAAGTCGATAAAACGTAACGAAAAAAATATATTTGTATCTTGAAATGTTAAAGAATATATGTGAAAAGTGGCGAGAAGTTTCATCAAACCCTTATACTGTAAAAAAATTGTCAAATATCGCTTCTCGTTTTACCATTTTGCATGAGTATCACCCCTTAACGGGAGAAACCACTGAAACGGATTGAAAAAATTGAAATATTTTTTTTTATATCTCCTTTCAATGCTTGGGGCTTTACGAATGACCCCCTAAAATATTAAAATTCGTAAAAATGACAAAGTTACAGAAGATTTACTCTATATGGCTATAATAATGAATATTTTTATACGAAATTTTTCCAAGTAGTAGTCCAAGAAATGTACTTTCGAGAAAATGAAACATTTATCAGAAAAAGTTTCATAGATACTCTGAAAAAATTCTTGAATATTGCCTTTATTTTCACCCATCACGGTTTCCCCTTTTAACGAGTGATTTCAAAGATCTACGTCGCAAAAAATCATCGTTCGTAGCGGCAGAAGAGATCGCGTGCTCCGAGGGACAAGTGTATACTTTGAAACGACCTGTATCTGTCGGATCAGGTGTTCCGGGAGCGGTTTTCGTCCACGCAAACTCGCGATGGAAGAGCGTCGCGCGTTCCACGTGCACGCTGTCCGCACACGCGTTTCATTACATATCGTATAAATGAGTCGCACGCGTCCCTGAATATATTTTGACGAACGATCGATCGACCAAGTTCGCGCTTTTCTCCCCGTTGGAAACGACTTTCGCGTTCGTCGGTATCGCGAACAATGCGAACGTTTCCCTCGATCCCCCGTCGAATACCAAAACGCGACGATCGAGGACGCGCAGGTGTTCTCGTTCGACGATCTACACCTGGGAAACCGCGCGTCTTCGACGAGGAGGTGTCATTTTTATGGTCCAGAAGCTGTATATGCACAAAGAAGTTTCGCTCGGCGCAAAAAGCACCGTCGATCTGCATAGATCTGCCGCGGCGGTGATTTATGAAGCCGCGAGATCGACGAGACCGAACCGGCTGTAACTCGACATCATTAGCGATCGTTGCTTTTGTGCCAGCGGCTCGAATAACTTCGATCTTTTCACGATGCACGCTGGTTAGCGATTGGCTACGCGCGTTGCTCGTTTTAATTACGAAAAAACAAAACGAACCGCACACGCGGGGCAAAAGTATTGGCGCGACCCAATACCTCGCAGACAGGAAGATTTTTATTCGAACGAGACATTTTTCTATCGATTTTATCAGGACATTCATTCGATTTATTTGATTGGAAGTAATCTTAACTCAACGAACCAGAAATCAGAAGTATCGTCGTTTACTTCTTATCCCAAGTTTCGTAGAATTGAAATTATCGACGCGATTAGAATTTTAGAACATGCAAATGTTGACTTGAATGGTAACCAGCAGTTTTAATCTGATTTTCGATACTTTAATTATCCGTGTTGCATAAATTTAATATTGCTTTCTTTTCGGTTGTAGTTTCTCTCGCGTTATTAGTCATCCTTACTCTTTCGCTGATCGAGAGCTCGTGACAAATGATCGATGAAAGGTTCCTGTTTACCATTTCCAAAAGACGAATAGTATTCTAAAATAATATTGTTCGACATTATTTTGTCTATTACTTTAATTATATTATTGCTTCTGTTATGTGGTGAACTAGAATAAATAATACATGGAGTACAGTTGCTCCCATTTAATTTATTTAAACACAAACCCTCAAATGTCTCAATGTATGAAAAAATACACTCACACCAGTTTCAACAAGCTTTCTGTCATTTATAGTCAATTACCATTATAAGAATACTTCTTCTTCTTTTCTTTAAACCAATTTATTAACAGTTACACGCATTTGTATCG